AAGGATGGTTTCTTCAGGAGGGGGTCTCACCACCGCCATTTTTAGCACGGCGGGGAAGTGCCCCTCCTGAAGGGAGGCGGTCACGACCGCCTGGATCCAGCCGCGTGTCACCTCACTGCTGCTGGCAACCAGCCAGGAGGGGCACGGGTCCAGTATACAGGAGGAGGCACTCACAGCTCGTATGGCCTTGTCCGCATCCCCAGAGGTAACATCCTGAAACTCATCCCAGAGATGGTTTGCCAAGTAATCCCCCTGTGACTCGGCTGGATCTGCAGGGGTGGAGTCCAAGTCCGACCGAAATTATTGTTGAAGAGGCTAAAAAAGTTAAAACAGTGTGTCCTCCCCCCTTCCCTGCCTTTTGTGTTCTCCTTTCCAATCATCCATGGTAGTTATCAAACATATTTTTCTTACTTCAGGGTTATACTTCAGGGCTGAAGGAAACACAAGTCCTAGTGAACAATTTTTCTTCTAATAAAATGCACATAATTGTATTGTTAATTCCCAAGTAGAGAATATGGAGATCATAAACCACTTATGTATTGTCAGAGTACATCTGAATTGCCAAAGATTACAAAACTGAAAAAGTCTGACACTATACAGAATGGCTGAGGTAACACAAAATGCTAATCCAAGTACAAGGAAGCCATTTTATGGTTTAACACAAAATGTTTCAGTGTCCAGGTTGGTGTGATTGCTCCATCCAGTGAAATAAAAATGAAAAAAAAAATCAAAATGACCTCTAAGTTCTAGAAATATGAGATAGCTTTAATATATAATATATAAGGTAATTCATGAAATGTGAACAAGGTTTGCAGAAAGAAAGCATTAGGAGTCTTCAGATGATTTCTGTGAATTGTCTGCTGTGGTCTTCTTGAGCGGAATAATGCAAATACTATTCTTGGCTTCTTTAATCCTCCACCAACGACCCAACCTGAAATACAACCCAGAAAAAATAAAGCATCCGCTTATGAAACATTCTGTTGGTCGGCTTGAATAGGAAACCTACAAAAGGACTGAAGGAAACATTTTATCATTCATATATGCTAGCAATTATTCTGTAAAATAGGGGGAAAAAACCAAAATTATAATAGGCCAAACAATAAAATACTGACAAGGGTGGAATTAAAATACAAGGAGAGTTTTCTCTTCCGTGTGGTTTTACACCAGAATCTCCAAATCTGGAAAAGGCAGTCAATTTCACACCTCTTACTGTTCTCTATTCTGAAGAAAAGCTCATTATTTTGTTTTGATCTTTGCAATAAGAACATCCCAGGGTTACCTACAATTTGGTATTAATCCATGAGAGAACTACTTTATGATTAGCTAAGTCAGGGTACTAAAGCAAAAGAAGTGACCTCTCTGCCCTGCCCAAATTTCTCCGTTTGTAGCAAATGTTTTGCTACAAACATCAATCCCTATTTGGGAGTGCCTCAGCATTTGCTACATAATCACTTGCCAGTGACACTTCCAGGAATAATTTCTACTAAAAGAATTTCTAGGCAAGCCCAAATCTCAATCTATGTTCTCAAAAAAACCTTGCGGGAAAAGACTAGGACACTTTTTAACAGAGTATAGTTGACCTTCAATCTGGAAGAGAACATGGGTAAAGGCCGTTTGCCAATGTGAATGGAATCCATGTGCACATACCTGTGTTCCTGTCCGACTCCAGCAACTAGGAAGTTTCCAGAATT